AAGTTCCTAAGCATATCTCTGTGTGTGGTCTGGTACCTGTGGATTCCCGGCCAGGTCCCCAGACCCGCAGTGGACGCGGCCCAGCTGCACCCGGTGGGCAGCGGGGCCTCCGACTGTCGCTGCCCTGGGGTCCTCGACCAAGGGGGTGGCCGCGGGCAGCGATGCTAGGGGACCGCGCGAGGACGGCCCCACCTGCCCCAGGGGTATTTGCCCAATCCCGATCCAGCCATCCTGAGAAAGAGCTCGCTCCAAAAATTAAAACCAGCTCTCAGTATCTTAAATAGGTCAGACACAAAGTCACAGCGGGGCCACGAACCCTTGCTTGACCACTGCTACTTGAAAACAAATTTCTTAATAGTTTAAAATGTAAGGGAGCACAAAGGGACATTTGGTTATTCGGAAGAGTTGATTTTTTAGGAGAAACTATTTCACAAGACTCCTTGGAAAGTGGCTTGATACTCAGAGCTTCGTGTTCACACGCGGCTAGTTAGGGGAGGACGTGAGAATGTGCCAGATCACAGAATCCCAATTTTCTCTTTTTACCCCTGGAGTCTTCTTATTGGGATGCCAGTAATTGCGGCTTCTAATGGCGCAACTGGAAAGGGGGACAGAGGCGCGCAGCAGGTTTACGGCCTGCCAGCGGGGCTCCGGGCGGGTCGGGAGCCCGCGGCGTTTCCTCGGCCGGTCCCCGCTGCGCGCTCATTAGCGCCCACTCTCCTTAATGGCTTCCTGTGGCTGGATGTTTACTTGTCATTTGTTGTCGCCTTTGTCTCCCCGCTACTGAACCGCAGGCTGACGGCGACTTTCCTTTCCAACCTTGCAGCTTGCTCCCGGGGGTGAACAGGCTTCCTCGAGACCCCCCGCCCCGCGCGCACCTCCGGGCGCCCCGCATGCACCCCGCGCCCTGCGAACACCCCCACCTCACCGCCCCCCGCATGTGCCCGGTGCAGCGCCAACCCAGCAGCGCTTCCTCGCCTGCACCAACCCCCTCCGCGCCGCGCCGCGCCCGGCACTCCACGCACCGCAAATAACTCGCGTTTCCCCGCACCCCTGCATGCACCCCGCGCAGCGCCCCACGCAGCGCATCGCGCCCGGGCGTGCACCTGGGGCACACATGTGGCCCTGCCGGTGGCCTCCCCGAGTGCCCCCCACTCCCGGCGCGCACGTACCTCGCGCTCTGGCGCTTCCCCAGTAGGATTTAGGGCAAGCTGGGAGCAGGGCTGAGAAGCCCTGCACAGGCACCCCCGTTGCCGCAGGCAGTGTTCCGCGTGTCCCCTCTCAATTGTGCGACCCAGGAACTGGGGGGCCCGGACCGGGCAGCCCCTCTGCCCTGCGTAGGTGGAAGCAGTGGCAGACCCTGTCAGCCCCTCAGGGACACGTGAGACGCAGAAAGGTGGTCAGGAGGGGACACCCCAACACCATGCCCCCCAAACACCTACACCCTGAGGGGCTGCTTTCTGTGCCCTCGCAGGCACTCGTGTTGACGCGCACGACAGACGCCCCTGTCGTTTCAGGGCCGTTCTGTTCGGGGCAGAGCCCCAGGAGCAGCCTCGGCGCGTGAAAGCTCTTCCTGCCCAGGGAGGGAGGGAACCTACCTGGGGGGCCACCGCAGCCTCCGCCGATCGACCTCACCTAGTGAGGAGCTGCTTTAGAAACTGGACGGAACACATTGTCTGACTTGTGCTGACGTCAGTTACATTTGCATCAGCAGCAGCAGCAAAAAAAAAAAAAAAAAAAAAGAAAGAAAAAAAGAAAAAAGTCCCCCAATCTTTTTAGAACCCCGTGCTTCCTGATTTTATTCTCCTTGAAGGGATACAGGGAATCCCACCCCAGAGTTAAAAATCCCTGGGCTAATTAGTTCTTCTTCTAAAGAAGCTTCTCCATGTATCTAGTTATGCTTATTAACTGAAACAGGCCTTATCAGTGTGACATGTCCTCCCAGTTTCTAAGAGATGATATTTAGAGGAGGTGAGACTCCTGGTGCCGTCATTTATTACCACGCCAGCCTGCTTCTATGTGACAATTGGTTTATAGGGTGTGGTAATTCCAAAGTCTCCCCGTCAAAGGGAGATAAAATTAGAAATGGAATTGTAGCAGACAGTTATCTTGATCTACTTCCTCTCACAGTTCTCAAGGCTGCTCTTCCCTCTTTCTCCATTTCGTCCCGCCTGCTCTCTTCTGCTTCACCAGCTTGTCCAAAGATGTCTCCGTATGTTAACTCCTAGCTACTATCACTGAGGATAGAAGGAGGAGGAGAAAGAGAAGGAGAAAAGAAAAAAAAAAAAAAAAAAGCACAGTTCACTTCCCTTCAAATTGTTCCCTTTAATACTTCAATACAATTGAGCCCCTGGAACTTAGGGACAAAGACTTGCAAAGGTATTACTCTTGTGGGGTCAGAAGTTACTGTTGAAAATAACCCTTTCCTAATTAGATACCTGTCAAGTGTCCACATGTTAGACTCTGAGGCTTAGAAATGGGATTTTAAATTCCTAATTATCTGCTGACTCATAATTTGCCACTACAATATCACTGAAATACAATTATTGTTCTCTCTGAAAATAAGATTACAGAGTGGCGGAAGGAGTAGGCCAAATGCGGACCCTTGAAGAGCGTGAGCCCTTGTGAGGAGTTTTGGAAGCCGATTCAGGAGGAAGCCTGAGGAACAGAAATCAAACAAAAGCTCTAGAACATAAAATTTAAAAGTGTGTATTTTTCCTATTTGTTTCTTCTGGATTTTGATAAGTGTTTTCAGTTTTTAGCACTTAGTTCTGGGAAGTAGTGATATCATCCGCCTTCCGGTTAGTTTAACCTTACAGGTGGGATGTTTTTGAAACTATGTTGATTTCAGTATAATTTTTAAATAAATGAGCCCTGTAAAATCGTACTTATGTGGTTGATATTTCCTTTAGTGAACTAACATCCATGACAGCAATCATCAAGAACCAAATCCAAATCGCAGAGTCAGAAAACACTGCACACTTTTTCCCTCAGGACCTGGGCTGCCTCTCTCACCAGAGTGAGGAAAGTCATTTTAATAAACGCTGGGCATGTCCTTCTTGCTAAGTCCTTTGCACAAAGACATGCGATAAGTAGCTGGGGGATGAAAAGCCAATGTTCCCAAAAAGTGTTTGAGGTGTGAAAACATGAGATTTTAAAGTAGGGCTGCAAGAAATTTTGTGAGTTAAATTTACTTTGTCAAGTCCCATAACACTGGTCATACCCCACGGTGGGTTTCATCCCAGCGGTATCACGGAGGCTTACGGAAGCACAGCTGTTACACGCGCAGGAGACGCCAATGAGGGGAGAGTGAGGGAAACCCGGCCAGCACCGTTGGGTGGCTCGTGGTGCATTCAGATGAGTGGGTTGGATCAAGCAGCCCATGGAAGAGCTTCACAGGGTCCGTAGATGAATGCTACCTTCTCTGAGGTCTGTAGCGCTCCAGGATGAACGAAGTCCTCCCGGATTCTTGCCTAAGTGCTCATTAAATGTTCACCATGCCAGGCACTGATGTAGGTGGTGTTGGTACTCGGTGAACATGACCGACTGATATTTACACATTTTTCTTTGGGCAAAACGCTAACATGAAATAGGTTTAGGTGAGCACCACTTCTATTAGCTATGCATTCACATTAATATCTTGCATGAATATTTTAGACTCTCTTCCCTAACGTGTGCTCTGGGGCTTACAGACAATGTTATCTTTCACATTACCCCAAATATGGTTATGTGCTGTTTCCATAAAAATGTCTAAAAATGTTTTGTTCCAACTTGCAGGTTTCTTCCATGATTTGTGCACTTAACCCATTTAACAAACAAAGTCAACTTCCAGAGAAGATTTAAACATTGTTAGTAAAGTAACTTTTTTTTTTTTTAAGAACAGAAAAATTCAAGGGCAAGTTGTGGTGAGGTGTGTTGGAGCAAAAGGGCCTGTCACTTTTTCATATGCCCATGGAACTCCCAAAGAATGAAGAGTGGGGTGGTGTGGGAAGCCTGTTGAGAAAGCGCCTCCACCTGGGAATTCAGGGTGAGGGGCTGGAGCTCCCCAGTGTAAGGAAGCAGGAAGGACAAAGGAGGGACAGTTTGGAGCCCGTCATTGGGGTATGAATGGCTTCTGGCCGTTCACTCTGACCTGCCCATTTATGTACGTAAACGGAACTTAAAGCCTGGGAACACACAGACTGTGGATCTTTTTGAGTGGACACAGAAACCAGGACATCTGAATGAAGCTTTTAAATTAGAGATAGAAGGAATAAAAAAATCAAAACAATGGTTCTCACTCTTGAGAGCAGATACGTGTGCAGGTGACCTAGGGAGGTTCTGTGGTGAGCAGGGAAGAGAATCTGTTGTCAGAACATTTCTTTCCACCATTAGCAAGTGTTCTGTGTTTCCTAATAGATCAGTGTGATGAGACGTCCCAAACACTGGAAATCTCTGTCATCATCTGGTAATCATAGAGCTGTTGCAGTCGTGAGACTAGACCTCCGTACGTGATGTCAAGTTAGCGACCTGCTCATAAACATTCACAAAAGGAAAATAGTAACATTTTCTGGAACATGCAGGACCTTGTTCCAAATACAAATGCTGTTTGTCAAAATTTTGGAATATTTAAATGCTACATATAAAATGTGATTTTTGTCTCTACCAAAATAAGTTTAGTTTTTCTTGGAATTTTAAGGATTGAAACATCCTGATATAATTCTTGTTTTCTATACAGTGATAAATAAAAAATCTACCGGCACTTGTGCATATAAATAATAATATTAAATATGGAAATACCAGAGTAAATTTTGAAAGAAAGGACTGTAAGTTTCCAGTTTTGTGCCAAAAGGATGAATTTATTGTTCAAATGTTAAACTTGATCTTAAATATTAAGCAATGTATCCCAATGTGAATTCATATTCTATTCTATTTATATAGTAGTGGAAATTTATAATATCAAATGCTACATTGTTACTACATAAGTAGGTGAGTCCTTGATAACTTTAAAGTATTTCTTTCCAATGTCTACTCCTAGACCCTGGGCTGCTCCTAAGACAAGAGAAACTAGGCTGATGGTCAACGCCGATCAAAGGGAAGAGGTAAGGTTTCTCATACTGATGAAAAATGTATTTTCTAACACTCTGTTTTAAATCCATTAGGGAATATTTTTTGTGTGCTTCCTATGCTCCATGATTTTTAGTTACTTAGAATTAAAATATTCATTTCAGCCAAGTGGCAAGTGTAATAAACATGTTTACATTCTTTTTTTTTTTAAGATTTCATTTATTTATTTGAGAAAGAGAGAGAATGAGAGAGAGAGCATGAAAGGGGAGAGGGCTGAGGGAGAAACAAACTCCCTGCTGAGCAGGGAGCTGGATGTGGGACTTGATCTCGGGATTCCAGGATCATGACCTGAGCTGAAGGCAGATGCTTAATCAACTGAGCCACCCAGGTGCCCCACATGTTTACATTCTTATTTTTACTCAAAGTAATGCTTTGTGTCATCCAAATAGTTCTTACTTGGGTGACCTAAAGAGGACAGTCATGGTCCCTGCCCCTGAGACTGTATCTGGGGAGATAAAACCTATTAAAAATGGCACAAGGAGAGTAACAAAATCACCAAGGAGGTGATTTTTTCTCCACAGGTATGGAGAGGAAGAAAATAAGTTATGATTGTTCCTTATTATATAAAATCAGGATGAAAATGAACGAAGGAGTTTCTTTTTTTTTATTTTTCAAATTTATTTATTTATTTGACAGAGACAGAGAGAAAGACAGTGAGAGAGGGAACACAAGCAGGAGCAGTGGGAGAGTAGGAGTGAGAAGCTGAGCAGGGAGCCCGCTGCAGGGCTCGATTCCAGGACCCCAGGGATCATGACCTGAGCTGAAGGCAGATGCTTAACCCACTGAGCCACCCAGGCAACCTGAGGCAAGGAGTTTCCTGATACACAGCAGGTTTAGCACAGTCTGCAATAGTTTGCTTTTCCAGAAAGGAGAGTACGTGTCCCGGTGTGTGGTGTGTGTCTGGTCTCCTGAGCTGGTTTTAGCTGGTGTGGCTCTTGAAGTCACCGGCTATGGTCACAGGGGTTGGGGGCGTGTTTCTTCTGGCTGGTGCGGTCCATTGTTCTTCCTTTGCTATTCTGTGCATCTCCATTCCTTCCCCGAGTGGTGTTTTGCCTGTTATTTCAAAGCTAGATGGCAGAGTTTGGAAATTAAAGACAGAAGGATCTCGGATAGAAATATAGAATATTCTGAGATGCATTTTTGTACCTGCACGTTACGGGTTAGAGATCAGCACTCAGATAACTCCTTTGCCTTGGATCATGGTGCTGGATTTTGCTGTTATTGTTGCATATTTGCACCTGGCAGAAGCAGCGGAGGGACAGCTCCATCTTGGCATAAGAAAATCTGGGTCCAACTCCTCGTTTTGTTCCTTTAAAGTGGTCTGAGCATGCCGTCAGCCCCTTGAGTTCATCTAGAAACGGTGATGATAGCGCCTATTTTGTGAGCAGAACCCAGCGTGAAAGTGCCTGGCACAAATCCGCTTAAAGACAAAAATGAAGACTATATGCTGTTTAAAGTATGTTTTGTTTTGTTGTGAGTCATTTCATCATTCTTTTTACTAAACAACCTGGTAGGTTGTGTCCTGAATTTTTTCTTGACCAGAAAATCGTTGGGGGCACAGCCAGCCACAGCATACCGCTCAGCGTGCCCTCCTGGATGAGTGGAGGAAGGCTGGCCCTTCGCACCTGGGTGCAAGGAGCACATCGCTCTCGGTCTGCTAGACAGGGTAGCATTTTTGGGGCCCCTTTGTCAGATGGTTGGAGATGGCTGAAAGTTTAATTTGCAGCCAACATTTGTCTTATGTACAGCATTCTCTCTAAGGAAGACAACATGGTCTCATGATTCCAGACTCAGAAGTTCCATTTAACACCTTTCTATCAAGATAAGTCTTACATGTTAAACTAGGAAAGATGGTTTTCTCAATTAATGTTAATAAGTGTGGAGCTTTTGGGAAAAAAAATAATCACTATCTGCCTGAAAATAAGGCTTCAGTGTCTGTGGAGAAATTGAAGAAATTACAACTATCTTTGATGCGAAAGATTTCAGGCCACCCCCTCTATTCAAAGAGGAACTGAAAGCACACTCTTTGTCCACACATACACGCATGTGTACAGAAGCAGTCCTGCTCCCGTGGGGGAGATCTGGTAGACAACTTACAGGATTTCATGCACATTTTAAGGCAAAGATGAAAATGTCATTGCCTTTGCAAAACAAAGCTGGACTGTGTAGTAAAGCTCTAGAAACTTCTATACCGGGGAGGCTCAAACAGGTTTACCTGAGCCTGGGAAGACACGTGTAAGGGGAGAGTAAGCGTCTTCAGAGACTTGGGGTTCTCATGTGGGTTTCATATTATTTCATATTCCAAAAAGCATATTTCAGATGTATTTCATGTTTTTCCTAAGTAGATTCAGAGACCAGGCTAGGGCCCAAGGGAGGGAGTTACAAAGAAGTAAATCTCGTTCAATATGAAATGGCATGTTTTTAATGACTAAAGGTGTACCTTTGCTCCAGGCTAAGTTTGGGTAACTTGGAAGTGTGTAAGCCTGAACCAGGACCACCACACACCTTTCCCCTGTCTTACCACCCTCCCCTCACCCCCACACCAGGGATTTTGGTTTTTGAGAGAAGTTTACTTAGGCAGCTGCTAATGTTCCTCCCATTTCAAAGTGTATAATCATCTGGATACAGAGAGAAAAACAACTAGAAAATAACACAGGACGTGAAAAACAAACGTACTGTATAGAAAACTATTCAGGAGACTGAGTATAGATGCTAGTTTATAAACCTGAAGCCACACTACACATGCAAGCTTGTTAATGTGTAATGAGTTTTTTTTAAAAGGTTTCATTTATTTATTTGACAGAGCAAGACAGCAAGAGAGGGAGCACAAGCAGAGGCAGTAGGAGAGGAAGAAGCAGGCTTCCCGTGGAGCAGGGAGCCCAGTGTGGGGCTCAATCCCAGGATGCTGGGATCACGACCTGAGCAGAAGGCAGACGCTTAATGACTGAGCCACCCAGGCACCGCTGTTCATGTGTAATGATTAATTAGAGTTTTTCATTTTATAGCTTTTTAGGAGATGTTAATATTATTTTATAGATGAAAAAAATCACTGCTAAATTTAAGACAGACTGATTTTGCAGGCATCTATGTGCACTATCCCAGTGCCACGGGAAAAGGCTCCAGGGAAGAGACTAAAAATTAAGTGTCCTAATTAAATAGTACAATAAGGGAAAAAAGGGTTTAAGCTTATATATTTCTTGAACGTTTATGTATTTGAGAGAGAGAACAAGTACAAGTGGGGGAGGGGTAGAGGGAGAAGGAGGGAGAGGATCTCCCTGAGCACTAGAGCATGACCCTGAGATCAAGACCTGAGCCGAAACCAAGACTCAGACGCTCAACTGACTGAGCCACCCAGACACCCTGGGGTTTAGCTCATACTAAAGCCATAAGATGTAGGCGAGGCGAACAGCAAAGATAGTAACAGTATGTATTTAATACGACCTGTCAAGTGCCGCACCTGGATTATACCAATTAATCTTCACACAAACCCTGAGAGACGGTGTACTGCTGTTTTTTAGTAAATCTGTCTTGCAGATAAAGAAATGGAAATTTAGGACAATTAACAACTCACTCGCACAGGGCACCCAGTTAACATGGCACGGACCCTGAATCCAAACCCAGCCTATCTCCAAAGCCTGTGGACCTTGCCATGCCTATCTATGGCACAGCACAAAGTCACTAGAGAACATGCAGCAGATGTACAAAGAAGCCCTTCCTTGTGACCAGGGAGCAACAGTCCACCAATTTTGTTATCAATGTGTATTAGTAAAGTGACATAAATTACATTACAAGAAAAGACAACTACAGACCAATATCTCTCATAAACATAAATGCAAAAATTCTTAACAAAATAGTAGCAAATCAAACCCTCCAAAACATAAAAAGAATTATATATGATAACCAGTTGGGATCTATCCTGGGTATCTAAGGCTGGTTCAATGTTTGAAAGTCAATTGATGTATTTCAGTATGTCAACAGACTGAAAAAGAAAAATCACATGATCCTATCGGTAGATGCAGAAGAAACAATTGACAAAATCCAACACTCATTCATGATTTAAAAAAAAAAAACAAAAACCTCTAAGTAAAGTAGAAATAGAGGGGAATTTCCTCAACTTGATAAATATCTACAAAAACATACAGTTAAGTTCATACTTAATGGTGAGAAATTCAAGGCTTTCTCACTAGGATCAAGTACAAGGCAAGTGTCCCTTCCCATCATTACTTTTCAGCATTGTACTGGAAGTCCTTATTCACGCAATTAGATAAGAAAAGGAAATAAAAAGTATCCAGATTGACAAGAAAGACAAAAAACTATCTTTGTTCACAGATGACATGATTATCTATGCAGAAAATTGAAAGAATGGGCAAAAAAAAAAAAAACCACCTGGAACTAATCCGTAATTATAGTATAGTTGCAGGATATAAGGCTAATATACAAAAGTCAGTTGTTTTACCATAGGCCAGTAATGAACAAGTAAAATTTGAAATTAAAAACACAATACCTTTACATTAGCATCCCTGCACCGGCCACCCAGAAAAAAAAAAAAAAAGAAATAAATACTCAGGTATTAGAGTTAGGTATAAGTCTAACAAAATATGGACAAGTTCTATATGAGGAAAACTACCAAGTTCTGACAAACAAAGTCAAAAGAACTAAATAAATGGAGAAAGACACCATATTCCTGGATAGGAAGACCCAGTAGTGTCAAGATATCAGTTCTTCCAATTGGTCTGTAGATTTAGGTCAATCCCAAGCAAAATACCAGCAAGTATTTTATCAATAACAACAAGCTATTTCGGAAGTTCATATAGAAAGCAAGAGACCCAGAATACTTAATACAATATTGAAGGAGAAGAACTTGGAAGACCGACACTACCCTACATCAGTACTTAACTCTAAAGCTACGGTACTGAAGACTGTGAGGTAGTGGAGAAGAGCAGACAAACAGAAGCATGGAGGAGAGTAGAGAGCC